TTGCCTAAGTGTTATTTGTTCAAATTTGCAAGTCCATAGATTTAGGCAGATATAGAAACAGGAGTTAAAGCCCCTTTGAATGCAAACTGAAATTTTCATGATGTAAAATGATCACAGAGCTAATTTTTCTGTAAGAAGTAGGACCTTTGTGTACTTTGTGATTATCTGTATAATGACATGAATCCTCCCCCCTCTAATACAGGCTTCAGTGAGCCTATATTAGATATGTTATTTCAAAATCTGTTTTGCTTGTTTTAACATAATTTAAACAGACTTATTATTTTTAAAAAATCATCCCAATCTCTCCCTCTCTAGTAGCAACTTCATCTATGACTCTTCTCATTTTGTCTTTTTTGTATTTTTCCTTATTATCTCTGAATTAATATGTGTACTGCTGCCTTTTAGCTATTTAATTTTAGGCTTAACCTTTGACTTTCACAATAAAGATGAGGGTTTAGTTCTTTTTTAAAATCATACTCACTGTATGTATATATATTTCTATTCTCTTCCACGTAGGGTAATATATTTATTTCTTTGGTGTCCTATGTTTCCATCAAAAATTAATTTCTGAACACTCGATTTGTATTTAAAATGCAAAGTTGATTCTGTTAATTTCAACAATGTGCAGATTGCCCTTCCAGAGTCTTTTGACCAGTTCTCAATGAGGCTTTGGGTCTTGTCTTATTATGCATGTGTACCATTATTTTGGGGGGTATGCTTCACCTTCCTCTTGGGTTGGATCTGTCATTAGCAGGAACCTATTAATTCATTAATTCTTCTTTTTTAAAATTTATGTTCTTATTTTGATGGGGCATCTCTTCATCATACTTAAATTAAATGTCTCATGTATGTGTCATTTTATTCTAGTTTTTGGTTTTACTGTGGGAAGTTCAGTGCCATGCTTAATCATTTTTTTATGGTAATGAAGATTGAACCCAAGGGTGCTCTACCTCTGAGCTATTTTCTCATCCATTTTTAGTTTTTAATTTTCAGACAGGTCTCACTGAGTTGCTAAGACTGGTCTCAAACTTGTAGATCCTCTTGTCTTAGTGTCCCAAGTACCTAGGATTATAGGCATGCCCCACCACATCCAGCTTGCCATACTTATCCTTTGTCTCTCTCCTTCTTACCCTTGCTTCTGTCTCTATAAAAACTTAGGCTTTCCTTTTGTTTCCAATGTTAGGGAAGTTTGCAATGGCACATTTGATGTGTCTATTCTTAAGCTTCATGGGTCTTTTCAAATTAGAAATTCATAGTTTTCATTTATGGGACTTTGCGTGATTTATGATACATATATAAGTCTTCTCTGTTTTCTCAAGTCTCAAGAGAGTTAATATTATTTATATGCTGTATCTCCTGAATTGATGCTCTAAGTTACTTAAACCTTTTCCTATATGTTTTGCTCTGTTAGATATTTTTTAGTATTTATTTTTTCACTCATCTGAGCTTTTGATTGACACAATAATTTTTTTGGGGGGGATGTTGCTGAGGATTGAACTCAGGGGCACTCAATCACTGAGCCACATCCCTATCCCTATTTTGCATTTTATTTAGAGACAGGGTTTTGCTCAGTTGCTTAGCACCTCACTGTTGCTGAGGCCAGCTTTGAACTTGAGATCCTTCTGCCTCAGTCTCCCGAGACTCTGAGATTATAGGCCACTATGCCTGGCAGATACAATCATATTTTTAAAGTTTCTTATTTGTTCTCCTTTTATCATAACTTGCCTTTTTGATAGATATATTTTAATAAGCTGAGATTACTAATTGTTTTTCTAAAGTTTTTCTTTTCTTTCTTTCAATGATCTATTTTTTCCAAGTGGAAGTAGATTTCTCTATGCTTTTGTTTTATTTTCAGTCTTTGATGTTTGAGTCATTCTTGAGATACTTAAGTGACTATGAATTAGTGGCTCATGCATAAGAGAGCAGAGCACTGGAAGATGTGTACATATATGTTACTAGAAGAGTTTCTTGGAAGCTCTTGTGCTTGTCACATGGTGGGGAGGAGGATGGAAGGCAGTAGTGTCTGGTACGTGCATGCGTGTAACCCACGAGCCTGCAATAAGGTGGGGTGCCTGCCCTTCTCTGTGCTTGGCTTCCCATAGTCCCTGACCTGCATGGTGGAATAGGAAAATAAGGGAGGTGTCTCAATGATGTGACATACATGTTACCCTTCCAGTCGTCTGCAGGGGTGAGGAAGACAAATTACTAGCCTATAGGGAGTGGGGAGGAGTATCCAAGCTCTATGTAGAAAAATAGATTTTCAGCCTCCTGTTTTCATTATCTCCTTCACCTTCCTTTCTCACAGTGCCACTTCTAGACTCTTTGGGGAGTTGTCTGGTAAACTTATGCTGCTTCTCAGCTTCTCCCCACCTTTGTTGAAGGAATGTTTTCTTGGCTTTGTTGAATCAGCCATTGCTTGTCCTTTTGCTCCCCTTTCTTTTATTTCTGGTGTCTCCCCCTTCTTGATCTCTTTGATTTTGTAGGTTTCTGTCTAGCCCATTTTCCTCTTATTATTAGGGGGATTCCAAAACTAGAATACCCTATAATCTACCCTTTTCACCAAACATTATATTTTACCATTTTTTTTCTTGTCAATGAGTATATTTAATTTTATTTCAACATTTTAATGGCTACAAAGCCATCTCATTTCAGAGATGTAACTAATCCCTTACTGTGGTAAGCATGGATTGTGATAAGCAATACTACAAGGAATCTTCTAGCTAAATTTTATACCACTCTTTAAATAGATTGGTGATGTTAGAAAATTTTGAATCTTCTCTTAAACTGTTTCTCCCAAAATGATGTCTTATTTCCAATCAGATGAAGAGGTTTCCTTTTCTACTTTAGACCATTCCAGTGTCACACATTTCATTTAACAACTTTTCCCAGAAGATGGGAAATTCAGTGGATGCTGTATTTATCACAGTAACTCAGGTTGTGTCTGGGGAAGTGATAGGCATCCAATACATGTTCCTTAAGTAGATATCTGCATAATAAATAAATTTTTATTATTTTATTTTTTAAACTTCAAAGACAGCCTGGTACGGAAGGAAGTAGAATGCAGTTAGTTTTAAATACCCTGTTTTCATCACTTTATCCCTTCAGGCAATTCAGGTCATCAAGTTAGTAAGGTTGAGAACCAGATTTAAAAGAAAGGAGCCTTGGGACAGGGTAATATAGTGATATACCCACACACTACCTGGATCACAATCTTGCTGACATTCCTCCTGAACAAACTTGCAACAAATGGCTTGTAAAATGAAGTACTAACAGAAACTGTGTTTAACTTTTCTTTTCTCTATTGTACAGAAATAATATATACCTATTGAGATTAATGTGTGATTGGATTTAACAAATAGTCTTTGCTTAATCTAGCCTAGGGTTTCTCAAAATGGAGTCTGTACATCAGCTATCTCAAACTCAAATGGATCTTATTGAATATGCTCTTTCATTGACTCACCTGAGTTTCCAGAATCATAAGCACTGTGGACAGGGAAGGATTCTTTTTTTTATTATTATTAGTTCCTCATGACAATACAATGATCTTGACACATCATATATTTGAATCAAATGGGGTATAATTTCTCATTTTTCCAAGTGTACAGGTTGCAGAATCCCATTGGTTATATAGCCATGTTTATACATACAGCAATACTAGTGCTATAAACGTTCAAAATACCTCACATGTCCACTGGTCAACATGCTTTACTAGACTAAGTTGGCAAATAAATATTTGTTAGGTACACATAATGGAAGTTTGAAAAACGTAATGAAATATCAGAGTTAATAATGCTAGAAGGAGATTCTAATAAATGTCATTTTATTAATTTTTACTTCAACTACTAGTCTCTAAGAATTTGACTAATTAGCTTAGAAACTGAGGAATTCATCCTAGATTATTTTCCCCTAAATTTCTTATTCTGTGATGTAACTGGTGAAATTAATTCGTGATTCAAAAAAAATCACAGTGTAGCTATTGCATATATGGCACTTCTTACACATAACTTCAATTAAAAAACAGAGCCCCACAGTATTTGGTTTAGATAATATTTTGTTGAAATTTGATTTATAGTCTAGTTAGATGTGTTATGAGAGACATTATAAATTGAACTTTGGTTAAGGTGATAGTTATGGAGGGATATGGTGTATATGAGAGCACTTAACACAATTCCTGAAACACACATCAATTAATGCATTCTCCCTTTTATGTAACATATGTTTGCTAACCTTGACATCAAATGTAGGTGTTTATAATTATCTTCATTTTAAAGGATAAGCAAATGAAGTTCAGGAAGATCCCAACTTTAGTTGATTGTAAAACCGAGAAATTTTGTCTACAAAATCATATCTACTATATTGTCGTCCACCAAAGATAATAGGAACATCACTAAAGAGTATGTCAGCACCTTCACATATAAAAGCTGATGGGTAAGATGTATCTTTAAAAGTACATCTTGATATTTACTAAGTTTTTATTTTCCTACCTGATTTTTTTCAAGGAAATATTTCTGATAATTTCTTTTTTAAAAATACGTGATGTGTGTCAAATAGAGAAACCTTGTGATGTGGTAGAAAGACAGTTTTAGGTTTCAAACAATCTGTATTTTAAATTCTAGATCCTTTATTTAAACTTTGTGAGTCTTGATTTTTCTCATCTGAAAAATGGATTTGATAATATTTAACCCTTGCATCAACATAAAGAGTAATCTTTAAACAGGGATTCATTGAGCAACTTGTACTCAGTTAAATACAAGTATTATAATTTGATACATAAAGCAGTATCCTGGGAGGATTCTGGGTATTTATTTGGGACATGTATAGAATATGAGACATACATAGAAGGTATATTTTTTAATATAAAGTGGAAAACCCTCTCTTTTCTGTTTAAACCTTAGTCATGAGTATTTCATTTCTTATTTACTCTTACATTATTCTTTGGAGAGAAGATTGTGGCAGGCTACCTTGCATTTGCTTTAACTCTCACTCTTTCTTCCTTTCAGCAAACTTCCATGATAACATGCTTTTGCGAAGTTCAGGAAAATTAAATGTGGGCACCAAGAAAGAGGATGGGGAGAGCACAGCCCCCACCCCTCGTCCAAAGGTCTTGCGTTGTAAATGCCACCACCATTGTCCAGAAGACTCGGTCAACAATATCTGCAGGTTGGTGATATAAATGATTTAAGCCTAGCTTTAACAAGTGGTCACACTTTTTTTTTTTTAAATCGTAAGCCAGTATTTCCAAAGAATACATTTTGAAGAATAGTGCCTAACTACAATAATGCTTAGAGCTGTGCTGTACTTAGGGAAATACAGAATTGTGTTTTACCCTGACACAGCATTCTGAGATGTCTTCCTTCCTTCATATAGCACTCATGCACATAAACAGCACAGATCCCAGCCTTTCTGTCAAGGAGCAAAACTACTTATTATTTTTTTTTCAAAATACCAGCTCCCTGCAGTCAATTCAACAGCAGCAAGTGCCACATATGTGTAATGTTTTTTTGTTTTAAGAATTTATGGGAAAGAACACCTAAGCTATTGGAAATATTGACAAACTGGCTCTGGGAAGCAATATCATGTGGAGCATATGTGAGTCCTTTAGATGTCTTAGGAAAGACATTGTCAAAGAACTAGAAAAGTCAGCGTTGAACTTGATAATCGTGGTTTTATAAATGCTTTGTAACATTTGAAACTGAACGGTAGGCATTTTTCTTTCTTACATGTCCTTATGCACTCCCATCCATCTTGCTGATCACCATGGCTGTGTTTACTCTCTAGTGAGAACAGCAGTGAATAAAGAGCACAGTCTAATGAGGCCAGAATGTGCCAAGGGAGAAGTGGATAACTTAACCAGAGAAGTGTGGATCTCAGGAGTTAAAATGTCAGAGAAGCAGAACAGACTGTGTTATAGTTTGGATCTAGAAATATCCCCTGAAAAGCTCATGCTTTTAAAACAAAATCCCCAATGCAGAAAGGTTCAGAGGTGGGGCTTTTAGGCAATGATGAGAGCTGTAACCTCATAAGTGTCTTAGTTCATTTGATGAATTAATAATTTGAATGGACTATTAGGTGGTAACTGTAGGCAGGTGGGGCATGGCTGGAGGAAGTAGTTCATTGGAGGAGTGCCCTTGGGGATTTGATCTTGTCCCTGGCTTCTTGCCTATCCTCTCTCTTTGCTCCCCAGCTGCCATGAATTGAGCAGCTTTCCTCTGTCATACCTTCTGCCATGATGTTCTGCCTCACCCTAGGCCCAGAGCAACAGAGTCAGCCAGCCTTCAACTGAACCTCTGAAACTGAGCAAAATAAACCTCTGAAACAAAATAAACTTTTGCTCCTCTAATTCGTTCTTGTCAGGTATTTTGGTTAGTGACAAAACAAAACAAAACAAAACACCTGACTAACACACATCTGGGACTTTATCAGCCAAGAATGTATGGGAAACTGATTTGAGTCTTTTTTCATTTTCCTTTCAGAGAGTTTTTGTAAAGTTTCCTATGATGCAGAAAATCTAATATAGGTTGAGAATCTCTAAAAATTCAGAAATCCAAAATGCTCCAAAATCTGAAACTTTAGATTACAGAAATGATGTGCCATAAATTGAAACTTACAAACCTAACCTTGTGTGGCAGGTCATAGAATACAAGCTCATTACACACATTGTATGTTATCTTCAGGCTATGTGTATAAGATGTATGTGAAACCTAAATGAATTTTATTTTTAGATTAGTTCCTGGCCCTTAGATATCTCAGGAATATGCAGTTATTCTAAAATCTGAAAAATTCTCATGTCTGAAATACCTCCAGTATGGGTAAGGACTGCTCACCTTGATAAGCTTACTAGAATATCCTGAAGACCTATATAATTAACACAAGAAATAACATATTAACTGACTAACACAGAGAGAGAAGTTGTTGGGTGTATTCAAAGGCACATGTCTCATTTAATCAGCAGTACCATTCAGAAGGGAGGGGAATTGCATATTCTCATTTTAGACATGGGATTTGGGATCCAGGGTGGTCTGGCAACTTGGGTCTTTACTATAGAACAATGCAGAGATCACTGAGTTTTGTGCTATGGTAAAATAATTTCTAGTTGTTTTTCCTGGGAAACACTATCTCTTTACAATAAACAGAAGATTGTCAGGAAAATTAATTTGTTTTTCTGAATAAAGATAAATTAGCAGGAGGAAGCAAATTAAGGGGAGGTAGTTTACTGTTTTATCTAAGCCTGTGGTGTTCGTAATACATCTCTGTGTCATTTGAGCTATTGTCTTAGTAATCCTTTGTTTAGGATTTTCCATATCTATCTCAGTTTAAAATATTTGTCTTTTTTTTTTTTCATTAGCCACAGGAGTGTACTAAGTTGGCTTGGGAGAAAATGGCCAGGCAGGGGAATTCTCTGTTGTAAGAAGGGGACCTTATTGTGTTCAAAGAAGACTGGTTTTCTTAGAACAGAGGGAGTAGGAGATGTGATAGGAGCTGAGCATGGAGACAGGGGAAAGATAACTATGCCTGGTAGGCTGTCGTCAGCAAACCTAAGAGCCTTGGAAGCCATTGATAGAGGTGTTTAAGTGGTAGGGCCAGTGGAGAGTTACATGATCCTTTTTGTCTTTTTAAATTTGCTTTGCTGAAGTATATTAAATGGGTCAGAAGGAAACAAAAGTGAATTCAAGAAATACAGTTAGAGAACTTGGAAGGGGATTCAGTAAGAACAGTCCACGTGAGAAAAGGATCTGGAGCTAGTGTGGTGTTGGTGCAAGAGAGAATTGGATGCATTTGAGAAACATTCAGAAGGTTAAGTTGAATGTTAATGGATTGGATATTGGAGGGAGGAGGACAAAAGAATTTTACAAGGCTTAGGTTTAGATTTAAGTGCATAGTATAGCCTTTTATTGAAAGAAGACAGAGGCAAAGAACCAAGTTCCTGGCTCCAAACTGAGTTTGTTTGTTTGTTTTTGACATTTTCCAATAAATAAGTGAAACAGTCTGTACAGTGGGATATGGATCTGTGCTCAGAATAAAGATTGCTTTGACGTGGAGCATTGGTTAGTGTTTGCTGTAAAATACACAATCTCAAAGTCACAGAGGCTTACATGTAAAGACGTTTATTTTTTTCACATAGAGGTTGATAGATGGGTTGCAGTTGTGCTAGGCTCTGCTGGGATTGGGTGGGCTTGACTTCGGGCTGCCAATGGGGTATAGGCTTGCTCTATATTTCTTCATTTTTCTTGGACCAATGGTTGCCTGGGACATTTCTTTCTCATTTCATCACTGCCGTGGAGGAGTGATGTTTTAAAACCCCTTTCTGCATCATGTCCTCTGATATTCCATTAATCAAATCAAGTGATGCAGTTAAGCTCAAAGTCAAGGGGAAGCCATCGTGATGGAGAAGGATGAGGAATTGGGATCAATAGTAGAACAATCTACCACCACCTACCAGAGTAGGACTGAGCCTTGAGACATTTAATGCTTGAGTCAAGGACATATCCCAGGAGATTAAGAATTAGTGTCCCCAATGCTAATTTTACCAAGGGAAATATTAAGGCTGACTATCTTCAATGCAGTTTGAGGTCAAGTAGAAAAAGAACTGGAAAATGGCAATCAGGTCCAATGACATCAATAGGAGCAAGTTGGAAATATTTAAGGTAGTAGAGATGGAAGCCAGGTTGAGATGGGCTTTGAATTATATGTTTGCTAATCTTTGATTTTTGATAATGAAAGAAAGAAAATCACAGGAAGAAAAACAGCAATAACAAAAGAATCCCTCAAAAGAACATAGATACACTATTATGACCAGCATAGGTGGGTTAACTTGGAGAGGTCAACAGAAAACTAATATTTGCTGAAACTTTTATAAGTTTATAAGTTTAAAATAACTTTTATAAGTTTCAGTAGCATATTTATTTTACCTATCTTTAACTAATAAACATTTCTATATAGAATGTAGCATTATCTATATTTTCCAGGTAAGAAATCTGAGGCTATGGAAAGTTAAGTAATCAGTAGGTATGATGACATGAAAAATCGTGGCCACAATTCCAAAATCACGAATTCTTAGCCAAAAGCCAACCCTGACACTGGTTCTTAGAGGACTGAACATCCACTCTTTTTTTTCTTTTAAAGAGAGAGAGAGAGAGAGAGAGAGAGAGAGAGAAAGAGAGAATTTTTTAATATTTATTTTCTAGTTTTCGGCGGACACAACATCTTTGTATGTGGTGCTGAGGATCGAACCCGGGCTGCACGCATGCCAGGCGAGCGTGCTACTGTAGCTTGAGCCGCATCCCGAGCCCCAACATCCACTCTTGAGTAAAATGCACATGTATTTTTCTAATGAGATTTCAACTCCAATTGAGACTTCTGTGAGCTGAGATCAATAATGTGCAAATTACAGGGACTACTTTTGTTCCCTTGTCCTAAGACATAGAGTAAATCCTTGACTTTCCACCTTCATTTCTGTTAGCTCACACTGGATTCTTTGCCCTCCAAAGAGTAATTCTCTAGATTTCTCTGGTGAAAGATAGCCACCCCCTCTAAAAGTAAAATAAAAATGATTTATTAAAAAAATAATATAAACTTTGCAAATTACATGCCCCCTTTTTTCTATTTCTATCATTTAGACATGGATTTATACATTGAAATTGCTGTATGAGTTTCAATTTCTATATTAACTCCTTCACAGACCAGCAATAAGCAATTTTCTGTCCTACTGGGATGTAACTTAAGCAACGCTGCATTAAGTCTTGCACTCTGAAGTAAAGCAGTTTTCAAGGCAAAGGGGTGCTTTCTTATGCCTTATATAAGGGCTGGTCTAAGTTGTTTGGCCTGAGGCCTTGTACCAGGCAAATGTCAGTCCAACAGTGTGTCCCAGGAAGGCTTCATGTTCATCACATCCCAAAAGGGACCAGAAACGAGTACTATCTACTATAAAGAGATTCTGAAATACGTCACTGTGAGATTGTGAGATATGTTAATTCAGAGGATGTGTACAGTTCAGGGGTTCGTAAATTCTTCACTAGTACCATCAATTAATTGCTCTATCAACCAAGTTCCAAGGCCAAATTCATGCCTGGATTGATCTCTATTAGCTGCACGTGTGTCTGCTACCCAGTTGCATGCCATTCCCATTGCTCATGGTTTTCATATTGGAGAATATAGTGCAA